TTCACGCTTTTGTCTTCATGGTGAATCTTCGCGGTTAATGCAGCGGCAGGGATAGCGCGCAAAATGTAAAGTATATATTTCTGTATATGATCCTGCTTTGGAAAGAATCGCACTCAGTTGGAAACGAAGAATAAATAATAACTTGCCCTGAGCCGTTGCATCAGGTTTCCTGTTTAACGTAGCCTACTTTTTTGTGATACTCAGTGTATCTCTGTGCCAGTGCGCTTCAACAACCGTATAACATCATATGAAAATTAAATTAAGTCAGATGCTGCAGCAGCACGATTCGACAGGTATGGGCATAAACCAGCAGACTGACGTTAAAATCTTACTGTATTTGCGTTTGTTAAGCTCATCACCTTAAGCCGTTCGCATATGCAAAATATCTTTGATTTGTGATATCCGCTGTACTCGGCCTTTGACAGTTTTTCCATAAGACTTACGGGCATAAAAGGAGGAAATATTCCCCTCCAAAATCAAGTCTGCTTTCATCCCATTCTTCTTCCATTTCGTATGCTGATATCCTGTCAAATTTTCCGTGGTTCGGCGTGCGAGAGCGAATGGTGTGTGCTTAATCAGCTGGTCTAACAAGACCAACCTTCCACCGGAATTTCCGTATCTACTACGGTTACCATTGCCCAGAAGACAATAGTCATTTCTTGCGTGGTCCAGCCACTTAGCTTTCAATGTGCGTCGAAGCCAAAGCTGTTGTACGACCATCGACCGTCGTTATAGAAATTCCACGGAGCCTTGGCCCTCTCAAAAGGACGCCCCCTAGGCAACTAGAAGCAAAGTGACGATACACTGCTGCTGTATAATTAGATGTAATGGCTTCAGTCCATCTTACACTACCACGGTATCGGTGTAAAGTAAGAAACGTTCTTAGAACGTTCGTTAGAACAACTGTTTCCATGTCGTACAGTAAGTAACACTGATCTGACAGAGGCAAGCTATTGGCTGATTTTTCGACAAAAGATACTCCCATCTACCCGAAATATTTAACAGGTTACGAAAAGCACTAGAGAGAGGGAATCTATTTGTTTAATTATGACCAAACGGTGCCATTGCTGGAGATGACAAACTCTTAACACAAAAACTGATAGACTCCTTTTCAAAAATTATGATCAATGTTTCAGCCCAGCCTAAGGACAAGTAATTTCATAAC